CTAAACCAGTCCCATTCCACATGATATATTCCAGTTTACAATAAAAATAAAACCCCAGTCTGGGATTTCCCGGCGGTCAGTACAATGCAAAAACCCAAAAATGTCCACTTATTCCCCAAAATACAACTGTTCATTCACAAAACAAAACTCAGAAGGGAAAAAAAAAAAAAAAAGGAAATAGGAATAATGGTGGTTCCATTTACTTGACACGGGAAGTCGGAAGCCAGTGTGGCCCCGTAAACTGTATAAGTTGTACATTCGGTATCACTTTGTGAAATTCCAACCACATCTCTTCCTTCTTTGCCACCTTGGCCAATCACCTACCGACACACATAAGCTTTGTACAGGCAACATAACTATAAATTGATTCATTTTCTACTCCCTTAAACATTTATCACACTGAAATTGGTCAGTGGGAGAACAATATTGTTTTTGCAGCAGGTAAAAGCTAACAGCCCCATGGGCGTATATTTCAATGTTTTAACACCTAAGAGGCACTAAGGTCACCACTGTGCCATCCATCTTCATAGAAGAGCAGAGAAAATTATTTTTTACATCTTGATAATGTCACTACTGAAACTGCTGCATGTTTTAAAAAAATACGTACCGCTGTATCTGTGAAAAAAATACATTATATTGCCTCTTTCCAATTAAAAGTTTGATTCTAGTAACAAGAGCAGTGTTGTGGAAAGGATTTATTTCAAGTTTAATCCAGTTTCATAATATTTTATAAGCCTGTGATACATGAGAAACAGTATTCATATCATGGAAAAATTCTAATATTTTCTGTTTTTGGAAGGAGTGTGGTTTCACAGTGATAGCTGCAGGGAGAAATGCCAGTTGTCTATCTAATTGGCAGGGGTATTTTGTTTATGCAGATGGAGACTCACTGTGACAACTGATGCATGACAGTTGCTACATGAAACATTATTAATCTAAAATAAATTCAGTCATGTGTTTAGTCACTCATATTCTATAAATGTGTTGCAGGAGGAGTGTACATATCTGAGGGCCATATAATGTGTTGAAATTGATATTTCTGTGATTGACAGCTACTGTAAATTCTGCTCAATTGCACACCACAGTTAAACTGACTTTAATTAAATTTGAAGAAAACAAACTCCTGCCATCTAATCTGTATAAAACCCATGTGTGCTCACAATGCTAATAGAGTTCAATAATAGAGGCTGCACTAGTGAGTAGTGCACTGCTGAGCTGACCTGTTTCTCATCCAACACATTTCATTGTATTGTTGGCCCCGTGTTAACCTTCATAAACCTGAACTGAACTACACACGTTCTAGTAGAGGTGGCAACACCACACTATTGTCTTTTTTTGTAGCAACTTAAATGTTTGCTTTTTTGATCTTTACAGAAAATAAGATTTGATGGGGGGAAAAAATACAGATCTATAATCCATTCACTCAAACTGTGGCATTGGTCTGATGATCATCTTCAGCCTTGAATTTTTACAATTTGCAGGTGTTATAATATAAGGTTAAACTGATATGACCTCACGCAGCAAATACACAGAGTCTCAAAAATGATAAATGAACACAAACAGCTGGACCTTTTGCAAAGCTACCCGTCACCTTGAATCAAGCATTCTTGAAACAGGAGAGAGCCGCCCTAGGAGCCCCAAGCTCTCCAGAATCACTGAATGTCAGCGGGTTTTGGTACCACTAAATTGCATTATCAAAATCTACTTTTTTTGCACTTCACCTTTATTTCCATGTACAATCCTACAGAGTTGAACATACACACATGCTACATAAAATCACGTCCTCTCTCTCTACCTGCTTCAGCCTTCTCTTCATGCAGAGCAAGGACTCTACTTTGTGTTGACATTTTTACATCCAGTAAAGTTTACTAGAACTACTTGAAACATCACTTCCACGGATTTGATGTATCATGGCAACCAAAGCTGTCAGAAATAACGCTGCGCATCAAAAACGCCCGCTAGCGTTCCCTGCTGGGCGTTTTCAGAAGAGCAGCTGCCGTTATCGGCTGGTCTGGCAAAAAAAGCGGAACACGGGCCCTAAGGACCCTGAAGCTGATGATACATGGGGCAACTTTTTTGAGCAATGTTGCTGGACAATCTTGCTAGTGGCAAGTCCGACTATGTTTTCAACGCATAGCGGCGGTGCGGGGCGGGTTGCGGAGTGGTGACAGAAGGGGATTACGGTAGTAATCTTTACTCATTACCATTGACGGCAACGTTGCCCTGCACGATTGCTCTAAAAGTTGCTCTGTGTATCATCAGCTAAAGTGTTTTTTCCTGAGGCCTGCATCTTTTCATTTTTTTTTTTCAGTCGCCGAGTGTTGAAAAATGTTCAACTTTGGGAAAAACGCTGTGCTCATCACTGTCACTTTTTGCCCAGCTGTCCAATCACATTACAGGAGGGGAGGGACAAACACCGCACCGAGCCATCAAGGCCGGATTAAGAAGTCAGAGGCCCCTGGGCACAAAGTTCTGTAGGGCCCTCATCCGCAGACCCACACATTCACTCCCCTGTTGATAACAGCGCTACAAATGCACCACAAAACAAAGCAACAAGGCTGACCAGAATCGAGCAGAGAAATCAGAACCAACAACGGAGTTCACAATGAGTTGGGCTTTTTTCACGTGAAATACATTACTTAAATAATAAAAATAGCACTCATCACTTCTCCTCTTAGCCCAAATAAGCCTGAAACATTCATGACCATACCAACCCTCCAGGCAGACTCCCGCTTTTCATTGCCCTCTCCCAGTTTCCTCCCGGGTCACAGCAGTGTGTTTAATGTTACAGTAGGTGAGTGGTGGAGGCCATCGGCGTCGCCAGGTCATTTTTCCAGGGGCTGTTTTGACTGTAGCCCCCAATGTAACTCAAAAACAGCAACAAGATATTTTCCATGTTAATATGCAATAATCTTCATGACGCAGAGAGAGAGAGAGAGAGAGAGAGAGAGAGAGAGAGAGAGAGAGAGAGAGAGAGAGAGAGAGAGAGAGAGAGAGAGAGAGAATTGCTCACAGCTTCAGGGCTTGTCCCCGACTTCTGAATTGCAAAATTGTAATCAATACATTTAAATGTAAATGTTGTTGGTCAGTGTCTAGTCAGTGTCTTAACACAAACGGTTAACAGTCGCTCTGTGTCCTGCTGTCTGTCTCTGTCCCCCTCGCTCTGAGACACTACTGTTTTACTGTCTCCAGGATGCTTCATTCCCTCTAAAGCTGCTGTGAACTGGACTTTCTCAGAGGTGCTGAAGTGAATTTGTGTGGAATTGTGGAGATATTTCTGTCTGATCACAAGTGTTTTCAGTTTCGGTTTTCTTCCTCTGATGAAGAGCAGTGCGCTCGTCTCATCCATTAGACTCTGTGTCTGTCAGACGGTCTAAAGAGGGTAGCCTCAGGGGTTGACTGTTAAACTGGCATACTGAGCAGATGCCCGGTGGGCCGACGAACCTTTGGGGCTGGTGTAACTAAATTATTTATTTATATAACTGCCGATCGGCCGATAAAGCATCTCAAATAACCGATATGTTTGCTACCCAGGCTGCAGTAGCTTCAACATCAGCTGCAGTGGGCTACTCTGTGTACTGCAGGCACTTGAAGTAGTAAAAGAGAGCCGTGGCCACTGCCAGGCAGAGGAGGAGGCCTGTGACAGCGAGTACGAAGTCATGTTTTGCAGAGGGGGTCAAATACTTATTTCACTCACTAAAATGCAAATCAATTTATAAAATTTTGACAGGCGTTTATCTGGTTTCTGTTGTTGTTTTATCTCTCACTGTTCAAATAAACCTACCACCAAAATTATAAACTGATCATTTCTTTGTCAGTGGGCAAACGTACAAAATCAGAAGGGGATCAAATAATTTTTCCCCCCACTTCATCTGCATCAACCCCCAAAAACCCTCTATAGGATTTACACTGATCAACACGTGTACACATTCTCCATCATACAGGATTTACACCACATGACTGCAGCAATGCTTTCCTGGACCGAAATATCAATACATGTCCCTACTTACTGTGAATCACATCATGCACGCACATACAGCCTCACACACAATCCAGTTCTATGAATCAGATTCTTCCATAATTCACACACAAACACACATACAGTAAAAAGGCTACTTCATCGTGGCCACGTTAAGGCAGCCCTCTTTCACTTAAAAACTTAATGAGCTCCTCCTGCTTCTCTCCCTTCAGCTGTTGCAGGAGTTTAGGCTCAAAGCCCCGCTCCCAGTGACAGATGAGCTCCAACATGTAACAGTGCTCTGTGCTTTTCCCCACGCACAAGACCGCCGTGTTTCCAGTCAGAAAAACACCAACAAAACAGATTTTTCTTAGTTGAATAAACCATAAAAACACAAAGCTAAAAATATTTCCTGTGGATGGTGAATAGGTGATCCACTCTCATTTTTAGACTCTCAGCAAAGTGGGGGCGGAGCTTCACCTGTTACAAAGTCATATTAACCACGTTTACATGACCCCAGACTCACTCCCAAAGTCCACAGAGTCCATCTGCGTCGCTGCTGCATTCTACTAAATGTTTGTGCTCACACCAGAAGCGCTGCAGTGCGTCCGGGAAGCGTCCCAGCAGATGAACCGAGAAACGAAAGCGAGCCACAGAGAGCTTTGAAGAATGTAGTAAAAACACAAAAAGGACGTCATGAACATGGGGCAGGCTGCACGCTTCGCTGCTGAAATGCTTCTGAGAGGCTTCCAGTGGAAGTTGATACCATAAATAAACGTCCCTCCCTCAGAATTTCCATTATGCATGTTTTGTTAAAATGTGTTAATAAGTTTGCCATTTGTTTGAAATACAAATGTTACTGTATGATTATGTTTATTAAATGTGTCTCTTTAGAATCTAGTGTGTTTCTTGGTAATTGTAATTCTTGTGGTGGTCTACCACCAATAACACGTGTTACAAGTTGGCTCCTGCTTGTAACAAAGGGGAAGCTCACTCAAACATAAGCTTAATGGTTTTATTGTATCAACTAAACATAAACTTCAAGGCAAACGTCAGAAATCAGGAGTGTCAGGAGTGTCAGGAGTGTATGCAGTGAGCACTAAAGGAAAAGCTACATAATAAGTCACAAATGAGGAGTTGGCGTGTCCATGGGGTGGTGCATGACAGGAAACAAAAGACCAGAGCAGAGTTGGCTGCTGTCTTAAATACGTCTAAGCCAGGATGAACAGGTGAGCCACATCTCCTGACGACTCAGGCTTTGGCTCCGCCTATAGACAGCCTGGAACACACAAACACAAAACCAGCACAACACAGACAACCACAGCCACCGCCGTAAAAAAAAAAAAAGAGATTCTTATGGAGCACTAATTACATTCAAATCTTAAAGTTAGAGTTTACAATTTACCTTAAGTATAGGCAATCACATGAAAATGGCTTCTCTGGACAATTACCTCATTCACATAATTCCCGCTTACCGACTCCCACTCAGCTACTTGGTACCTTAGAAGCAATTTAAGAGACAGGAGAAAGAAACACTGAAAACAGATGAGAACAGGAACCATAACCACTTTAAATGTATGCTCAAGACACTGCATCAGCCGTAACATTTTCAGAACCTTTAATGTGCCGAACATCAAGATGGAAAGGCTGTAAGAACAAACACCATCTCATCAAACGCTGGTTTGGGTTCTGCAACAAATGTAGGAAGGTGAGAGGATTGTGGTCCGTTTACACAACTAGAGACCTTCACCTATTACCTATGTACACTTCAAAGTGCTGTAGAGCCCAAATCAAGTGCCTCCTTCTCTACAAGTGAGTAGTTCAACTGGTAGGAGTTCAGCTTGCGCAAGAAGTAACTGACCTTTCAATGCAAGATGCACCAGATGTGTTTGCAGCAGCACAGCCCCAGCACCCATATTACTGGCATCCACTTTAATCTGAAACCGTTCCTTTAGATTTGGGGCTGCAAGCACTGGAGCACAAGAAAGGAGAGCTTTAACATCGTCAAAAGCTTTCTGACAACAGTCTGGCCAGTGAAACTTGACCTTAGGACTCACCAGGTCAGTCAAAGGAGGAACTACTGCCGAGAAATTTTCACTAAATCTTCGGTAATAACTTACTATTCCAAGAAATCAGGTGAGCTCTTTCTTTGTAATGGGAGGAGGAAACTTCACCCTGCCCAACCACCTTACCCAGGTGTGTCACTGTGGCCTTAGCAAACTCACACGCCCAGGCCAGGCAATGAGACAGGGCCTGGATGCGCTGCAAATTTTCGTATGTGTCGCTACCCAGCAAACATGAGATGTCTGATAGACGTGCAGATCACGTGTATATATCGTCGGTCGTACCATATCTGTATGTCTGTACGACGTGCAAATCAGGTTCAATATTTGGACGTCTGATTAAGACCCTTCTTAGGTGTATTTTTTGGATGTCCGTGGACGTGCAAGACAACAGCATGCAGAAAATCAACATGTGAAAATTTTAAATTAAGCAAAGAATTTATAATTCATTAGCAACATTTATTATTATTGGAGAGGGAAAGAACAAGTAGGATATAATTAATGCTCAAAATAATGCAAAAGCTAAACTTTGTGCACGACATCACCATTTCTCTCAAACACAGTAGGGCTGCGTTCAAAAGTCTTTTTTGCTTAGGAAGGTTCCTAACTGAGTGACGTGAACCGGTGGCAGCCGTGATAAGAGCTGTTCGAATTCTCTAAAAGCTGAGGAAAGGTGCCTCAATGCTTCCTTTCAGATCTCCTTTAGCATAGGGTACACCTGACCATCCTTTACGAAAGGAAAGGAGAAAATGCCGTCCCACAATTCCTGTGGCGGCAACATTTAAAGCGAAGCACGTTCTCAAACTCAAACGATAAAATCCATCAACCGCATTTAGCAAGATCCTTGCAAGACAGGCGCACATTATGATACTTTAATAAGACTCACAGTTACCTTCTTTCTTTTGGTTTGTTTTCTTTTGGCTTTTTGAATCTGATACTGTTTCAACACCGTTTTATGTTTCGGATTGTTAAGCCATTAAGTGTTTTCTACAATAAAAATAAATAAATCACCAACCATGACATAGGAGTTGATCTCCGTAATTACCATTGGCTATTAAGCCTTTTCTCTCTTATGCCCTAACTTGCTAATATGCATATATCTTAAACTGTCAACAATAACTGAGACCCATGCGAGCTGTTATAGTCTTGTAAAGTGATCAAAGTGAGGATAATGATGCAGCGTGGAGCCTCACATTATGTACTGCAGCCTTCAGCAAATTATTTCACTTCAGTCTCAGATGCTGACACCCTCGCCTTAATAAAGGCAAAGATCCAGCTGGATAACCTCTACAGTAGGCGTTTCCCACACACTGATTTATTTGGGGCGGCCTGCCACATTATCAACGCTGATTTTCGATTGATTTTGTTATTTAAAACGAGTAAAATCGTATTTGATGACAGAGCGCTGCACAGTGCATATATTCTCTCAGCATCTCCTCTCTCTCTCTCTCTCTCTCTCTCTCTCTCTCTCTCTCTCTCTCTCTCTCTCTCTCTCTCTCTCTCTCTGCACAGTTACGCTGTCATTCTGTGGGAAACACTGTATTTACATACTACTGGGATTCATGTTGATAAATAGCCTATGGGTGGGCAGGAGGGTGAGTGTGACTATTCTCAATGTGACAACCCTGTCCATTAGTGACGGTAACTTAGGCTACCTTATCTGCCTTTTTGCTATCTTGGTTATTAAGTAATATATTCCACCGTGTTGTTTAGATGGTCTGCGTTACAACAACATGGGGTGCAGAGTCAAAGATGTGCTTTTTGTAGTCCATCTTCAGAACATTGTAGTTTCATCACGGCAGTAAAATGCCGTCTTAGAAAAGAGCAGTTGGATACTCTTAGACCCGCCGTCCTCTTTTCCTAAGTCCTTACAGATTCTCCTTCACATCTTCATGACGTTTTCCATCAAGGTCACGGAAAGGTGGTTAGGAAAGGAGATTTATTTTTACCTTTCGGATGAAGCCTAGGACTATCTGCATAAATACTAGATCCTGTTATACAGACACCCGTACTGTAGGCGATAGATGCACTCCCGCCAAAAATCCAAGTTAACAAACAAAACGACGACTCACGGAGCATCTTTAGAACAGACCCACCGGCCGTTGCAACGACAACAAACCCACTGACCAAGGTAAGAAAAGTGAAGTTATGAAGCTTTAAACCAACTGTAAACTCCTGTGTACCGCGACTATTTCAGCCGCATTACTGTCTTAACGAGGCTGTAACTTACGTCAGTTGGGTGGATTAGATAAGATATTGTATTAACAATAAGACAATTATATCCAGTGGTACCAACCAAGTCATGCTAGCTTGTCAGGTGGGTTAAATAACACTCCAAATTTAGGATACAGTTTGACTTCTGACTTCGAAATATCTGAATTTAAATGGGTTCTGTGGGTACCTGAGGCAGTCAGAGGAGGTGGGCTTCATGTATATTCACAATAAGGCGTTTCTGAGCATGGAAAAAATGTGCTTGCCTTATGGTGCAAAAACTACAATTCTAACCTCATGTCAGAAGTTTTCAATCACATTCCTGCAGTGATCAGCTAACATCCGAGCCTTCAGGTAAAAGTTTACTTCGATATAATTGCTCCTTCAAAAGCATTTAAGTTAAAGTGTTGTTGGCCAATTCCATAACATTTTAAATGCACATCGTCAAACTATCATCTATGCATGATTTGGACAGTGATGACAACCTGCCGGACATTAATAATAGTTTTGGCAGTGACAATGCCCCTGGCACTCCTAACAGTTTTGACTTTAACACTGATGTGGAACATGGGTCTACAGACTCAACGATCAAGCTGAAGTGAATGTGAACTTCGACGAGGACTTGAGACAATGGACCAAAAAACGGAGACAGAGATGTTTCAGGCTCTGAAAATCCAGCCTTGTCTGCCCGGTGGAGCTTGCTGGCAGGTCTCGGGGCAGGGAAATGTCCACATCCAGTGAGTATTCATCACATTACACAAGTCACTGTTTTTGTTTGAGACTCAATCATGTTAAATCTAATAACATTATTTGTTTTTCAGACTCTTGACATGCAAACCTAAAGAGAGCTTGAGGTTCTACATCCGGGCACAGCGGCGGGTCCAGGGCCCAGCAACAGACACGGCGAGTTGTCCAAAGGTTGCATGTATTCATCAAAACGCTTTGCAATTCAGTGAGTACATATTCAACATATTACAGTCAGTAACTCAGTGAAAATAGGTCAAAGGTGCGCTGGATTTATACTAAAAGACAAAACGAGAGCATCATTGTGAAAAGGAATGTGGCAGCCTTCTGTTTTCCGATCAAGTTGGAAATGACACGTCTCCCTTTTTCATTTTCCAAAACAAGTCTTTATGGTCTGGTGAACGATAGCATCTATACTGTGTATGATTGAGACTTTGGACTTCTGAATTAAACAAGACCCAAAGATTACTTTAAGCACAAGTTTTAACGTAGCTCAGACTGATAACAAAGTCTGTTGCAGCTAAGTTGGAGTACAGTTGGTAGTGCAAAATCTAGGATGTACAAGAGATTCAGATCTGGATCTTTTATTTTTCTTTATTTTTTATAATACATATATGTGGACAATGGGCCTGATTTACTAACATCCCGAATAAAGAGTACTAAATTGCGTGCGTATTCTAAAATATTGCATGTGTAAATTTAGTACCTGTTATGGGTGATTTACTAAGAATTATTGCGTAGATGACAACAGGAGCAAACACAGTGGAGGTGGCCGTATTTAAATGAGGGTTTTGCGTGTTTAATGGTTTCCGCCATGGAGAGTCGGGAGGGAAAGTAGCCACCGCGTAAAAACCTTGGTTTGTTTTGTTCAGTGCGTCCCGAGTATGTGGAAATCATCCTGTCTGAGACTGCACTAAGTACTTGAGACAGCGCACCTGAAAAACTGCTTTGGGAAACCTCAGCAAAACAGATACAGTATGCTGGAATGACCCAGACGCCAGGAAATGCCAGCAGATCGCTTCATCCAGCCAGAGGGAACGACCACCGACCGTCCACACCGTGCCCGGTCGCTTCGGATCTCCTGTCCCTTGCCCTGTACGCCCCAACGCCCCATTTCCTCTCCAGGACGTTCAATGAGTTGTGTCGCTATTATGACCGGCATGCTGTGAACAGTTGGTGCGTTCCCTCTGGCTGGATGAATTTCACGCGTGATCCATGCACTGCAGCTGGGGGCTCTCCGCGGCGCCACGCAACTTTCTAAATTCTTCCATCTCACGGAGAAAAGAAGTCAGGTCGAAATGAAATTTGCTCTATTGGCATGAATGTTAATGCAACAATATCGCCAAAGCTAAAGGAAAATACAAAAAAAATCAATTCACATAGTTAATCGAATAAATAAAATAAAATAATTGTATTTCTATATATTGGATACAGAATAATAATATCTAATATTGTTAATTTCTCTATGTTTTCTTTCATTACGGCTGTGTCTCCTTCTGGCAACGATAACAGCAGCCATCTCTGCTCAGCGCTTGACGGTTTGCACCTTCCTTTCAAACGTATTAAATACAGATGCTGTTGCATTTAGTAAATAAGAATTTGCATGTTAACCTCTCACTACTTTGCACAATAAAATTGAAACCCCCAGTTGCATATTCATCAAGGCAAAAGTAGTAAATGAACAACAGTTGCTATCTTGCACTTTTGAAAGACGTCATTCTTAGTGTTAATTATCTGGTGATATCAAGTTTCCACACATTTTTACTAACGCAAACCTTTAGTAAATCAGGCCCTTGGTGTATAACTACAGGTTGACTTTGCACATTTATAAGTTGGTGGACACAGGAAGAATAAAGAACTTAAAAAAAACTTTTAATTTTATAAATTGTGACCAGTCAAAATTAACACCAACCAAGTTCATCAATAATTCAGTTAGCAAGGTACCCTT